CTCTAGAAACCAACGGAGAAACAGAAGGGGCAGGGGCTCATGTCAGCAAACACGGCTATATCACGTGACACGCCAGCGACACAGAAACGCCAACGCACACGGCTGCACAGCAGGCAGGGTGGGGGAGGAGGGAGCCGGGGGCCACCCATCTTGTCCTCTGCGGGGCAGGCTGGGAGTGGGGCAGGGTGAATGCATAGAACACATCATGTACGCACGCTTGAGGCGTGGCAAGAGCGTGCATCAACCCACAGGCACATGGGACGGACACGCAGTGTGCTTCGTGAGAGGCAGGGGGAGGGAGAAAGGGGGAGGGGAAGCAGCGAGCCCTGGCCAGGTCCGGGACCACCCACGGGGCACACAGGGGCTTGATGGATGTAGGTGCTTGGCGGGCGGGCAGCACACACTTGTCTGAGAACATGCAAAAGACACCAGCCCCCAGACAACATTCCAGGACACATACAGACACAGCAGCCAACAAGCAAACACATCATGTGATGTGTGGGACTCAGAGAAGCTGGGGCAGAACAGACCCTCAGGGATGCTCTGGTCCATCTGAGGCCCAGAGATGGGCAGCTACGGACCTAATACCAGTCAAGGAGGCAGTTGCATCACTCCAGCCATGGCTCCACCCTTCTCCTGGTGGCCCCAAGGCTGTGGGGATTCCAGAAACGCCTGGTATGAAAGGGTATCCAGGCTGGACCGCAGGAAGGAAAAAGGCTGGGGTGGGGGGTGCTGGGGCCTGCTCTGGCGTCCCCAAAGAAGCCTGAGTGGAAGCAGGAGGGCTGCAGTCAGATACGGGGGCAAACTTCCCGTCCTGACAAAGGGCAAGGTCACATCTGCACCGTCTCTCTCACACACGTACACGCTTCACATGAAGAGGGACTCCAGGAAATTATCTGCACACAGACCAGAGTCCTCCACCCTGTGCACACGGATGTCGGACCCCAAGGCAGGGCGCATTCCTGTACTTGTGTGTTCAATCCTGTATATGTGGGTCCGTGTTCCTGGGCCAGTGGAGTGGGAGGCTTCTAACACTGTCCTTTGCCCACATACCTCCCACCTGACGCCCAACACACAAACCCACTCATGCATATGTTGTCTACGCAGCAAGGGAGGAGCTGGCCTCTTCCTCACCACCAGAAACTCAGGCCTGTGTCCCACCCTCAGTCTCAGCCTGCGGAACAGCTG